ATTAATGGTCATTTGCCGCGCTAATTGGTGAGCATTTTCCCTGTCAGACTCTATTAGACTTTACGCACTTATGGGCGTATTGTTCGTTCATGTAGTAATTATTGTGTGTATGTGGGACAAATAGTTTTTTTTTTAATATAGAATCAGCGATATTGCATTCTAGAATATTGTTTTTATAAATATAAAAGATGAAAGCAATGGTATGCAACACTGACACAAAGTAAAATGCAATTAAAACCAAATCGATCTAAATATGAAATACTGTATACAGAAAATTTGCAAATAACAAGTAAGTATGATTTTTATAATGTACATACTTTTTTTACTTGATACTGATTTTTGTTGACATTTGCGATTGTTTTCTGTCTCAATCATATGGCTTAACGCTATAAAGTCATTAAAGTCGTCTTATAATTTATTGGCCATATGCACGTTCTGTCAATTGTCATTTTGAATTTTGAAAAGTGGACTTTTACTGCCTAGGCATTAAAAGTTCGTTACTATGCAACGTTCCAGGTAATAGTTTTAATCAATCTGATTTTCAAAATTGACAATGACAATGACAATATTACATTTTTGTCAAAATAATTTAATTATTTGGATATCAAGAATGAAATCAATATAAAAAAGATGACTATGAGTGGAATTAGAACAAATTCGGAGAAAAAATTAAATGTTTCACACGGCAAAAAATCAGATTTAATGCCTTAGCTGGATTGCTAGCCTCGGCTGTGAAACACCAGCCACGGCATTAAATCTTGTGCTTTTCTGCCTAGTAAAACAAACAACTATTGTCACTCAAAATCTAATAATAATAATCCATCATTTTACGTACCTTTACCATTTTGTAACTTTAAATGGCACGTTCGCAAAATGTTTGACCTCATATATTCAAATTGCTGTAACTTTCCTGAAAATGAACTTTTTAGAATCACGGATTTTCACGTCTTTTTCATGTGAAGTTGCAAAAGTGATTTTTCCGTGGGGTTGATATGAGGCATAACATACTGGGTGATCAATAAAGTCATGCAAAAAATTAGATATTTTGGTGGCTTCTGTTTTTGTGGATATCTAATGGCAAATGTGTCACATGTTTTTGATATAACTTTAATAATATTCTTCGTTAGTATAATTTAAACGCCCCGACATTATTATTAATAATTTTTATGGTGAACGTTTCTTTATCATTTTAGTATTTTTCAACGCCGTCATAGCCAAATGAATTTAAAATCGGTAGCAAAATCGCCATATAAAAATATTAAATGTGTCAAAAATGCTTAGACCTAGCTATAAGACATTATACACGGAATCTCTCTAGACTAGAATCTTGAGAAGAAACCAAAAATGAAATAATATATAGGGTGTCACATTAAAATAAACAAGTTGACGTCTACTTCTCACCATCTTGAAAATATTTAAGCCGGATTGCCCGCATTGACGTATACAATATTTCCTAAGGGAAATGCATAAAATATTTCCGGAAATTTTAAAAAAATTCGTCTTTAGCCAATTTTTTTAAACAAAATCATGAGTGCATAGCGCCTGAAAAAATCCCGAACCCGAAGGGTGAGGGATTTTTTCTTTGGCTTCAGACAAAATTTTCAAAAATTTCCGGAAATATTTTATGCACTAGTTATATTACTACTGGAAATTCAACTTCCTTATTTTTAATTATTGTGCAATATTTCTACAAAGCGTTAGGTTAGGTATCTCCGAGGGGTAAACCACTAGCGGAAATCATTGTATATTTTTTCGAGAATCACATTAATTAATCGAGAATACATGGAAATCACTTGGGAGTCCCTGGGAATCGCTAGGAATCTCCTAGGACTCCTTGAAAATCACAGAGGAATCCATTGTCAATCGCTGAGAATCACGGAATATCATCTGATTCTAACCCAGAAATCGCATATCATACGTTTTAAATGATACAGCGTAACGGACAGTTGTGTATTTGCCTTTAAGACTAAGTTGTAAATTTGATATCCCAATGAGTTTCCCAATAACTGAGCCAATAACCGAGACTACGAAGAGCTTAGAACTTGAAGAAGAAGAAGGATGAGATGAAGATTAGGTCTGTTCTCACGGAAATCACTATCCAGTCGAAGCGTTTTTGATTGGTGCAAATCGCCAACAACCAGTTTTCTGACTATTTTCAACCAATAAAATTTGCTCTGACTGGTTTGTGATTTCTGTGAGAACAGACCTAAAGTATGACAATGTTGCAGATTATAAAGATGAAAACATGAATCTTGAAACCTGTCTCGAATCCGACTTGCCAAAAGAAGTCACAAAATTTCTTCACACATCAGGGTTTAGCACTTGCGATTCGCTACAATTAAGAGATTATTCAGGGCTCAACTTCAACTTGGTTCTTTTCAGAGAAGCAGGGAGTTTGTCGATCGAGTATTAAGATCTATTGGAATATCCCTGAGAAAGACAAAAGAAAAAGTCGGAAATCCAAGGCAATAGGAACCTGAAAAAGGAAAGTAGAATAAATACTAGGCAGGGCGAGAAGAAGAGACGATAGCACATCTGAATCAGAAATAGGTTTGTCGCGTGAAACCCTAACTGAAGATGTCTCTGATTCAGATAAACATCCTAGTGAAATCAAAGAAATATCCATTATTTTAGTTCCATATTATGCAGTGTAGACATGCAAAGGGATCTAGGACCCAATAACTATTTATACCTACAACAAAATCTAAAAGTTGCTAACTTTTGAAAGACTTGCAAATACAGAAGTTGCCACTTTTTCAATGGACACGTGTTTTCATAAGAGAGACAGAGACTGTTTATTTTGGTCATATCAATGCAAAGCTCAAGAATTAGACATCGTTTTCGTGATAAAATCAGCTGGAAATCGGATAATTGTAGGAAATCATCGAGAAAATCAGGTATTCAATTGGGAATGATATAGGAATCCCCAGAAAAAAAATGAAAATGACGTAATCATACAAAAATATCTGAAAATCATGGGCAATCAGTCGCAATTCTTGGGATAGGAATACATGAGATTCATTGATCAGTAATTGCCAAATATGGAAATCATTGTACATTTATAAGCATAGTGGTTGACCCCTCCGGTATATTTTTATAAAAGTTTATAAAAAGTTGTTGTTAACCCTTAAAACGCGATATGAAAATTGCAAAATCTCTAAATTACAACAGGAAAAATTGATCTGACAACATTTTTCAGTCACCTTCGAATTTTTCAAGTAATTACATAGGTAATTACTTGATTATGTAATGATGAATTAGGTAATTTATCTACAAGCGTTTGGTTATGACCTTTTTACATAACCATTTTTCTAGTATTTGAGTTGTGTCATGAGACTCATAACACAACCAGTGGTGTTATAGACCAGGTTATGAATACATAACACAACTAGTGGTGTTATGGACGAGGTTATGAATCTATAACACAACTATTTTTGGTGATTTGACAAATAATGTCAACGGTAAACCTGCAAACGTAAAATGAAGGTAGACAACTACTAATTATTAAAACGAAAATAATTGAAAAAACATTCTTATTTTTCGCTTTGAAGATAAAACGTTGTACATCACACAAGCGTTTAAACATGACTACAAAACTCGTGTGATTAGAACGACGAGGTCGTAGACCGAGTTCACACTCGTTACTGTAATCATGTTCATAAACGCACTTGTAATGTAAATAACTATTATTTGTCACTCATTTGTAAAACGTCATTTATCAAGTCAAAATATAAACAACGAACATTGATTTTTACCAGTTACTGGCTCTACTGACTTGTAAAATTGACAGCTAAACTGTAAAAACTTGTTTCCTACAGCCGTGCGGAAAAATCGATTTTCCGCACTGATATGCGTGCGGAAAATGAGTTTTCCCGCACGGTGCGGTAAAACTTTTTTTTTTGACATATCAGTGCGGAAAAAGTTTTTCCGCACGGCTGTCAGTGCGGAAAAATTTTTACCGCATTGATATGTCAAAAAAAGAAAAGAAAAATTTTACATTTTTTCGCCTGTAGGAAAAATATTGTACCTAACACTTGCGGAAAATATTTTTCCGCACTTGTTAGGTAAATAGCTATTACAAGTCAGTAGGGTCAGAGAATTATTTATTAAAATTGTATTACCTATATGTATTAATTTTTTATTTATTATTTAAGATTGTTTACAAATGAGTAACAAATAAATTATTGTACATCATACGCCAGGTATCAGCTTTTATTTTTAACCATATATGAAATGTTGTCATTACTGACTTTTCAAAAATTTGAAAATGTCACATTTCTGTCTTTTAATGTTCCTGCTCCATTACCTGTCCCAGGACGGGAAGTGAGGACGGGAAATTTTTTCCGTCCTCATTTCCCGTCCACGGACGGAAAATGGAGCAGGGAAATATTTCCCGTTCTCATTTTCCTCTTCATTTGCCGACCTCATTTGGTTGCCCCGAATTTATTTTTTTTCAAGAAATTATGGTTAAAAATAAAATAGTATACAACCCTCGACGGGAAACTTCATTGCTGTCTCGAGGTTCAGTTTATCTCGACGCTACGAGTCTCGATAAACTATAAAACCTCTCGACCAGTAATGAAGCATTTCCCGTCTCGGATTGTAATATACTATTACTGGCTCTTGAAGGTGACAAGCTCGCCTGACGGCTCGCTAGTCATTTCCTTTAATCACCAGTAAAAACTGTTTTACCTGGCTAATAATGTAAAATACTATTAACTCTGTGACAAGTTGTCAACGGGATATTCCCAGTATTGCCAATTTTAATAAACAGTAAAATGCTAATAACTTTTTTAAGAATGCCACCAGATTTTTTAAATTATTTTTTTGGGGTTCTTTGGAGAATCCTCCTCCATGTAGTGAAGAGTTTTTACGCTATTTTCCGGACACCCTGTATATGTAGATCGATTTGGTGTCCCAGAGGGACAACCCTATTTATATAGGTATACCTATTAGATTGGGCATATTGATATGAAGTTACTGGAAAAACGTGTACTTACTTGTGTCCATTTCTGCTAGCCAAATGAAGAGGAGTATGAGGAAAAACAATATCAGGTGTAGTCCTCTGGATCAGCATCGGATCCGTTCTTACGAGAAGCTCAACTGTCTCTAATCTGTAGCAAAAATTGAAATTCCAGATTCGAAAATGAAAGCAAAAGTGAAGAATGTATACCTTCCATATTGAGCTGCCAATTCGAGAGCAGTTTCGCCTCTACAATTTCTTATTCCTGGATCGCACGCGTGCTCCAGCAATAGACTTACTACTGCTGTATGCCCGTACTGAGCTGCACAATGAAGAGCTGTTTCGTCGTCTTTGGTCTGGAATGAACCATACCGAAAAATGGAATTCTCTTGTATTTATTAGTCATTATACATACAAACAGGTGCCAAGTTCTTGAAATACGTGATGACAAACGAAATAATGAGTGTTAATACCTAATTACTTACTTAATAGTACCTATTCGAAAATTCATCTTGGTAGATGTGGAGGTTTACTGGTTATAACATGCATTACGATAGAGAAAAAATTGTCTACTAATGCATAGATAGTCAGAATACATTGCCAGATTAGTCAGAAAGCGCCTCCTTTGGCAGTATATTATTCTCCCCACTCAGCATAGGTACCATCCGCTAGTTTTACCTAGTCCATTTCTAGCCGTTATCTTTCACAGTATCCGCGCTAATCTTTGCTTATTAGGGTACTTGCACAACGGAGCTATGATACGTACTTATAGCCTGGATGATAGATGGAAGCTATCATCGATAATTGGAATTAAATCATTGGTTTAAATGTGAGCTTGCACATCCCAGCAATGAGTATAGCTATGGGATGATCGCTTTTAGCATACTAGAATGAATTTTACCATTCTTTCTGCGATCAGAAACCAGCTGGCAAGGGTGGCGTTTGCCCAGTCATCGTCTTGTCTTTAATTCTACTTATATATAATCGAGGATATAGTGTATTGGAAAGCCTCCAACTTCTGATATAAGTGGTGATAATCCCATTTGCAACCGTTTTTGATTAATTGGGTGAGCATGGTATTCTCTTGTGGGGAAATGTCGCAGAACATACCACTTTGTAGCCAACGAACATAAATAATCGTCATCACTCTCCGACTTCGCGATCAGAAATGCGAGATAAACTTGTTTAAAAGTTCGTATCACAGCTCCGTTGTGCACGTACCCTGCAGAACAAAGTGTATTTTATGAATAAATGCTTAGTCCGTAGATTGAAAGGTTGGCGTAAGGTTATGGACCTCTCCTCTCCACACTGCGACCTGATTAGATCTATTATGTTATATCTAGTAGGTTCCCAGATTAAGGCTTTTGGTAAAGCTGATAATGTTCCTGGGATTAACTTCTCTCACATCCGCGGCCCTTAGATAGGGTTGCTCTAAATGAATAAGTCTTCTGCGGCACAATGCCTCGCGGCTCGCTGTTCCAAAGTATGTATTCCGCAGACTCAGAGGGTTCTTCACAAAAGCGGCAAAGGTCTGATTCTGGTCTGCCTATTTACCCAATTCTGGATTTCCCCTATTATATGACTTTTTGCAATGCCAGAAAAAGGTTCTGGTCAAAGGAATGGTGTTGCAGCTCCTTGTCTTGCAAGTTGGTTCGCTATTCCATTCCCCTCGACTCCTTGGTGCCTTGGTACTCATAACAGGGTGACTCTTTTGCGAGATGCCAGCTGCTTTAGGACTTGTTGGCAGTCCCATACCAGTCTGTGGGCTGGAATTCTGTAACGAATAGAGATATTTTCGCTATCTCTATTGACGTCTCCTCTCTATTGATTTCGAAAAGAGAGAAGAAGACCGTAAGTGCCATAGTGATATCGATAACGTTCTATACCCGTTACAGATTTCCACCTCTGGACTTTGTGACAGAGCCACTCAAAGCTTTTAGTGCTGCCTGACTATCGGAATTAATATAGAGCTTCGCTCTTCGCAGGTCTCTTTGGAGATACTTTCTAGCGCAAAGTTCTATTGCGAATATTTCCGCTTGAAATATGGTTGGCCTTTCTCCTAGGGCTGTTGATAGCCTACAAAGTGGACCGTATACCCCTGCTCCAGTCCCTTGCTCTGTTTCCGATCTGTCTGTATACCAGACAGATGACCCATTCGGGAATACAGGTACGATATCTCTGCCTTGCGGCCCTCAATAGTCACTTTGAAGGAGTGTTCAAATTCGTACCTGTGTTTTATATGGCCATCTGGCTTTGTGGTCACATTTATCAATTTCTTAATAATACTCATGTAGCCGACAAAGTCCCCTTCCTTTAGTTTTTGGGACTATAATATTCTTGAGGCTACCGACAGTTGCCAATCGGTTTTGCGTTGTCTGCTGTTTTACTTTTGGCCACCATACTAGTCCAGAGTAAGTGACCATGGTTCTTATAACCAGGGATGGGCATCTCCGCGTAAATAAAGATTGTCTACATCTGGTGTAAACAACGCGTAGACAATGTAAACTATGTAATCTATGTAGACAACGTGTAAAATATGTAGACAACGCGTAAAGTATACAATTTTTGACAGTTGGCAGGCCTTTAAGGTTATGTTTCTGTTTTTGCTTTGTTTTGTTTTTTGCTTTGTAAAGTTAATTAAACTGCAGATAATGTCTAATTTGATACAATATAAATTTAATGCAATGCAAACTTTCAAAAAAATTACTCAAATTTCAAATTTTCTGTTGTCTACATAGTTTACATAGTCTACATGGAAAAAAGTGGATGCAAACAATACGTAGACAACGAGTAGACAAACCGCGTAAAGTAGATTTCATAGTCTACGGCACATCCCTGCTTATAACCATTGTAAGTCTTGCTGAATAATCTCCATCATGTCTAATGGCTATTGCCCGGTTGGTTACTTTTTTAAGATGTTGGTTCCAAGTGAGTTTCTGATCCAGGGTGACTCGCAGACATTTAACCTCACTTGTGAAGTTGAATTTAGAATTTAGCTTAGTCCTTTTCCTTGTAAAAGGTAAAATTATGGATTTTTTGGGGTTGACACTTAAACCTTCCTGCGGACACCATTTAATAATGGCATTTTGCATGAGGTCACTAATGATCCTGCCATGCTTACCCTTAATAATGACTGTGAGGTCGTCAGCATACCCTAGGCCTGTGATCCGTTGGGCGCATAGCGTGTTGAGAAGTGACCACAGCAGTGGGGACAATACACCCCCTTGGGGGCATCCCTTGACTGCTGAGACCGTTGCAGAGTCACTTCCAATAGTTGCTTTGATTTTTCTATTCTTCTATACTTTTCATGGCTTCAATCCATGTAGTTCTAGTTTCGTCAAAGCCCTTATTTCTTAGTCTTAGTTAGTTTCTGAAGCCAACCAGGAATTTACTCATTAATAAATAGTTCCAATGTCCTAAATGAAGTTGAAGATAGTATATATATTTCAATATGTCCACGTATTCAGTCGATGTGATACAACTTCTGCATTTTTAAGCAGGGAATTTCCCCAATTTATAACAAAAAAATCGTGGATTTTAAGACTACCGTCCTCATCCGGATGAAGTACTAATAGTGGTATGAGCCCTTTACTCACATATGATACTTTCCCATCGTTTGGGCTTAAAAGCCTTGATTTACCTTGCGTTCGGTATTTTGCTCAAAGAGCAGAGCGTGCTGAGCGGAGCCGTAATCACGTGACCAGTGAGCGAACAGAGCAGTTGAACGCTGAATAAAAGTGCCAGAAATTTTAATAAACGAACGCGAATGAGGCTGCACCGAGTACACTTTTTAAATAAACGAACGGTAAAGTCAAACTCGGAGAACTCGGACCAAAATAACGAACGCACGGTTAAATGAATACAAGTATGTATCCCTTTTTCTTGTGTTTCGATACCACATAAGTATTTCTTTAGCTTTAGCAAGATCTATGGACATTTTTGGATAAGTCAAGTTTTGAATTAAATTGTTCAAATATCAGAGAACACAAATTTATGTTCAAGATCAGTAATATTGGTGCATAAGGTAGCAAATATAGAAATGCAACATTCAGCTTTTCACAAAAGTCCCTTTAGTGAAAATCCTAAATAAACTTTATTATTCATGATCCTAATAACTATATGCCCTCACTTCCTGGGATGCAATTATAACACCATAAATTCTGATTAGTGGCTTTTACCAGTAAACTATTACAAGTTTTAATAATCCAAGACAAATTAGTACATGCCTCTATGACTATCCTAAATTGAATACTTGAAATTCCCTTTTCAGCAAAATACCAACGACTCGACGTCAAGATTCAAGTTTGTTACAAACTAAGTAGTTCGGATCTTTTCTTTAAAAACTAATTCGGTTTTAGTCAGATGCAGTTGCATCTTCCTCAGTTGTCATTGGGTGAAATCTGTTTCGGTTCTGAAATTAATTACTAACTTAGATGAATAGTTACTAGAAATTCACATTAATTGCTATTTTCGCAAAATGTTCATTTTAAAGTAAATATCTTCGCTTTAATTTGTCTCATGTTCTTGTCAGGTTACAACCGAAAAATCTAATTAGGCCGCGCCTATTTCCAGAAAACAGCAACAACTTTTCTTTCAACGACAAATCCATTTCTCTCATTCGTCCGTCTTCTCGTTTCTCTCGGAAGTTGCAACGCGGTTCGGGCCAAATCAGTTTTCGGTCCAACAAATACGCCGTTGAAAAGATCACAGTAAGTTTGTTTGCATTAAAAAGTTATGCAACAAAAACGAAACTTGACGGATATGCAGAGCAGAGAGACAGAGCGAAGCAGATTTCTATCAGAAACTCGAAATATTAAATTCAGTTTAATTCAAAAGATACCGCAACTACTGCGAGTGATAACTTTGAAGTTTAAGACGGAAGCTGTTCTCGGTAGACTCCTAACTCTTTGTGCTTTCACGACTTATCTTTTAGGGATGCTCTTTAAATAAGACAAACATAACATTTGCATTTATTTGCTACCTTGAGTTTATATGTTAAGCTGAATAATTAAAATAGGATTCAGGCCAAATAAATGAGCTAAGTTTTCAAAACTGGAAATAAAAAATATTTTTGGCAATATTGATTTAGAAGCAATGAAGCATTATAGTGTAGTGTTAGCAATAAAATAAGTTAAGTGCAACGAATTCTGGATAAAAGGATGGGGAATTAAGCGAAGAAAAGGTGTGTTAAAATCAATAAAACAAAACTAAAAAAGAGTATTATAACATTTATTGTGCCACCAAGCAAATAAAATCAATCAATTTTAGCAATAAATATTGGGTTAGGCAATAAAAACACCAACATAAAAACAGTGTAATATATTAAAATAAAATAAGGAAACAAAAGCAGTGTGCTGTTAAGTGCAGTTGAAGCTGAGCTTACCGTTAAATTCACATTGCAGATAGCAGGTCCGGACAAAAGAAGTTTGACAATATCAAGGTTTCCGGACCAGGCTGCCAGATGGAGTGGTGATGATCCTTTGACGTCAATGATATTGGGCGATGCATCATGTTCTAGCAATAGGCGCACGATATTCCTAAGACAAAAAAAAAACATAAATTCACATATTTCATGCGCAGTCTCAAAATAACAATTCATTATCATTATCAATGATAAAAGATTCTTCTATAGAGTGAAATAGGCGACGCCAATTTTGCTCACAGGGATATTCTCCTGGTGCAATGTTGCAGTTTGTAATGTCACAAAAATATATTTTTCTGCGATTGACAAGAAATGTCAACATTTTTGACCGGTTGACAGGTCGCAAAACTCAATATTCTGGTATGTTAATTATTTCTCAATAGCTGCTAAGGAATCAATGAATAACAATACGGGAATCCCTTTTCCGCCTAGGCCGGGAAAGTGATTCTCGTACTGCTGAACAAATGGAACAAAAAGACAAACATTTAACAGATATTTAACCGATCGCAGAAAAAATAGTATGTGTATTTCGATGGAAAAGCACATTCTCGGCCTTCGGTGTTTGCCGGCCTCGGCTACGCCTCGCCCGTGAACTTACACCGTCGGCCGAGAATGTGTCACTTTTCCACCTAAATACACAATATACTATTATTGTTCTTAATATATTTTGGACTCGTACTTTTACTATTTCGTAAACCTAGCGACATCTATGATTCTTCTGACTAGTTTTCCTAACCTAATACCGAAAATTCTGTTATTAAGGTTATTTCTGAGAAACTTGTAGCGCTGTCATTTTAATAATTTCGACAGGCTTGACAGACCAAAAGGACAGAACCATTTGGGTGCTTTTGACTTGGGCTTTTCTCTTATGTCTTGGGACCGGAAAAGTCGTCCAGCCAGATTTTTAAAATCTTCAAAATCTTAAAATTGACCAATTTGAGACCATCCTGTTCGGCATCTCAAAGTAAATCTGGGCCCCCCTTTTCAAGGAATGTTGGTGTCCTGTAAGAAGTAGATCCCCAACCATCATTTGGTTGCCTCCAGCCACTTTGGTACTTCCAGATCTCAAATTTGTGAAAACTTCAAAGGACTCCGTCCAGGCTTGTATAATTATTTATAGACTGTGAGATAGGGGCTGTTTAGCGGAGTCATTTTTTTTGTCTGGGATTTTGAGGGCTGAATGTGGCTAGTTAGCTGATGAGAATATGGGTGATTTTGATGCCGGCCTCCCGTTCGAAAATTTGCAGAAGAAAAAAATTGTTTTACATGAAGAATTTTTTTTTAATGATCTAAAATTTTCTGGCTTTTAAATAAAAGATTGACATTGATAAATAATTCACCCATGAAAAATATCAGATGCTCTTCAATAGCTGAAAAAATGGGGATGGGTGTCAACTTCCAAGAGAAAAGAAAAGAACCTTCCGCGTTTACTTTTTGTCTGACAATCGAAAGAATGAAAGGTTCTTTCGAGTACCGATAGATATAATATACAGTGGATTCATTAACCTTTAGAGGTTAATTTAACCTTTAATTTCAAATCAATAAGGTGGTAGTTTTACAAGGTAAACCAATGTAAAATCTTTAGGTAGTTAAAGTTGAGTTTTATGTTTACATATGTTGAATTTTAATTACAGGTAAGACGGGGTAGTGCTCTCCCCGATATCCTTAATTTCAGATTTTTGACATTTATAACTCCCTGGGGATTATTTATTACCTACCTACATTTATAAATTTGTATTTCATTGATTTGATTGACTTTGAGTCAAAGAATTCGAGGTTAATAGTATTATGACTTCAGCATTTATACTTAGGTAAATTCAATCGTGGGTATCTATTTAATTGTTTTTGAATTTCAATCCTTTAATATACTTATTTAAATTAAGTTTGGCTTTTGGAAAGTTGCTTAATTTTTGAAAAAAAATTTAATACTGAACAATATTCTTCTTTGAACTATTGAACAACCAGTTCACCATTCTGTCAACAAATTTTTAATGAACAAGTTCGACATTTGATTAATAAATTATTGTTTTAGAATTCCAAAACTTGTGTTTTTATTGAATGGGTTAAATGTCAGAGAGCTATTAGATTTATTTTCCTTTTCAGATTTTTGCATTTATCTTTTTAAACAATAACTAATTATTGGAATAGTGTCTAGTTTGGCTATTCTTTGGTAATCAAAATAATTTATACAAAGTAGAGGCGCCCTCTCTTTACTGTACCAACACCAAGGACCACCCCAAGCTGAACAACCACTGAGCATAGTCGAGCACAGATTATGAGCATTCTTTTTTTACGACAAAAGAGCGTTACAAGTTGTTGAAAATTTTTCGCAATTTTTATGAAATTGAAAATATCTACCTGTACTACTAAGAGCTCGACTAAGATTTACAAGTATAAAAGAATATACACGTTTAATCAAAAATTATTTTCGAAGCCATCTCACATCTTCCAGAAATTAGTTGTTTCTGTTGAGCATGTTTCTAGGTGATGCTTCAAGAAGTGTTAACTGTTGACTCTAAGTGGTTGCAATAGACAAAATGTCATCCTTATTCAAGATAAACACAACAATGAGCAAAAATAAAATTGTTGGCTAAAAATCTCTTCGATGCCAATGTGACAATTAATGTTGAAATGAAGGGAAATATATTCTAAAAATAATGTATTTACTTACGTGTGTCCATTTAATGACGCATGATGTAATGAGGAATATCCACTGCTATCTTGAACATTGGCACCTGGTCCTCTACGTAAACTGAAACAAAGGAAAAATATGTTTAATTTCAATGCTTTGTATTTGCTATCTAAATGGAGATTGCAAGAAATACAATAATAATAAAAGGGAAGTCCGCTCCTTTGAAGGTTTAACTATGATTCAATCTAAATTGGTCAAAAAAATGTACACTGTGTCCCAAATTGCTTGTAATCACAAGGTTTCTCGGTAACCAGCAGAGATAGAACTTTGCGGTTTTCGCGACCTTGTATCAGTTTTCCGTGAAACTTTGAATGCCGCAAACAAAATTGTGTCATCTCGTTTCGCTCCCTAGATACAGGGGTGAAATAGAAATTTTGCGCTTTTTGGGGTGATATCATATTTCGGACACCCTGTAAGATAGAAAAAAGGTGAAAACGGTTATAGATAGATATTTTTACTTAGAATCCAGTGTTGTACTCGAAATTTTTTTAGACAAACTGTTTTCCAGATATAAGTACCTAGCCCAAACTTAGTATTTTTCAAATGAGACACCCTGTATTTTTTGCTATTGAAAAATTTCTCTTTAAAATGATGCATCACACTATGCACTTTTGAAGTAAATTAACCCTTAAAAATGCAATATTAAAGGAAAAACCTAAGTTGGCCATGGAATTATCGGTATTAGGTTTATTCGGACTTAGTTCAGAATCAGTTCTGAATTGAACTGCGCTTGCGCATTTGTTTATATATGTACGACATGAACAAATGCGCATGCGCAGTTCAATTCAGAACTAATTTAATTCTGAAATAAGTCCGAACAAACCTATTAAAGTGTTCACAAGCAAAATTAAACAAAATAAAAAAAAAACAAACATTTTTACTCTGATCTTGATAGACTTAATGATAATTATAAACAAATTCTACATGACTAAAAAACTGTTCAAAATGGTTCCCCCCTCCCGAATACACAACTCGTACACGGTGCGAATTCTTCTTAGAGCATTCATTCATGGATATTATAGGTCTATTTACCAAAGAGCTAAATGCCTATCAAGCAAGATTATTAAATTTTTCAAGTTCAGAGTAAAAAATGGTTATTCATTTTTTATTTTCTTTAATTTTACTTGTGGACACTTTAATACCTATAATTCCATGGCCAACTTAACGTTTTTCTCTTAATATTGCGTTTTTAAGGGTTAGTTTACCTACGTCACAAATGCATAGTGTGATGCATCTTTTTAAAGAGAAAAAAAAAGTAGCATTTTTCGAGACCAAAAAAATACAGGGTGTCCCATTTAATTGGACTATATCTCGAACACGGTTTGTCTAAAAAAATTTTTGACTGCAACACACAATAAAGTCAGTTGCATGGTTCTTGAGCTGCGCAGTCTGAAGAGGCAGAGGGGAAAATTCCACATAAAAACTCGGCTAACGTTTGATATCATAGGCGTGCGTAGTGTTATTTTTTTCTATTATAAAATTGAAAATTATTTTCACGTTTGCAAATTGCTTTTGATGTTGTGTATATTTTCATGAAAAAAACTTGGATGGATTTCGAATTTCGCCCGGTGGTTCAACTCATCAGGGTGATTCATTGATTCAATATTGATGGAAAAATTATAAATTTTAGAAAGCACCATGGGTAACGCATTGAATTTTATTACTATTAAATTATATTCCAAAAAAGAAAACTTGTATATATTTCTAAACTGAAAGAAATAAATAAAACATAAGTTAATAAACAAAAGACAACTACACTAAAAAAAGAAAACAGGAACATTATAAAAGATAAAATTAAACATAAAAATCTGAAGTGTTTTTTTCTAAATTCAAATAATTCAGTTTTCATTCTCCTTGTCACTGATATCCGAATCGGAATAGTCGCTATCAGTATCCGAATCGTCATTTTTGACTGAAATTATTAATGGTTCAACCTACTCCAATATTTGATCTTTTTCCCAGAAGGAATTTTCTATGTTAATAACATGACTGCAATATTTTTGCCAGTCTTCTGGTATTACCGATGTAATGGCTTGTTCGGCAACTCCTTTAAAACTTTTATTGAAAACTCGCCCGTATAGTGTTGTGGCTCCCAATGAAATGTTTCAATTGTGACCAAACCATTTCAATTGGGTTGAAGTCACCCATATATGGAGGAGTTCTCAGTGGAATATGACCATGTTTTCTGATAACACGATAACATGGAATTTACAGACAAAATGTTTTTGTTTTATTTTCCACGCTTCCGTCCTTACCTCAGCATTAAGGTCAATTCTCACTTACGCTTCACTCAGCTCGGCGACGCGACACGACGCTGCACTGGAAATTGTCGCTAGATAAATGATAAATATTTCATTGGTTTAAATGCGACGCGTCGTAAAGTGTAGTGCAGTGTAGGTGGGAATATATTTATTTAAACCAACGAAATATTTATCTAGCGACAATTTGCAGCGCGGCGTCGTGTCGCGTCACCGAGCTGAGTGAAGCGCAAGTGAGAATTGAACTTAAAGCGCTGCTCTCTCCAATTTTTTTTCAGAGATAGTCGACAAAAATTAATTGTTCCTTCTTTATCGCAAATCCTATATATATTGGCTATAACCTCCCTTGTTTGGCTATGAAGAGCTTTACTTTGCGTATATTTATTCATCTTTTTGAACACCTTTTGGCTACGCCACTGAATAAAACTTTGATTGAACAAAGAACGTTAGTGAAACAAAATTTAAAATGTGGAAACTGGCACAGACCTACTCAGCATATCCGGTACAATATGATCCTTACCCTTTCGATGAATAAGTTGGAAATCGTGAGGCTAAAGTCTCACCTGCCAACGGGCCAAGCGCCCTTGAGAATCCTTAAGTCGATGTAACCAGAGAATAAAAGACTGTTCACACGCAGGTGTCCATGACCATCTTGCGTTGTTCTTAATTAACGCCAAAAGGAGACTGAGCAGTGAGGAAAAATTCGGGATGAAACTTCTGTACCAGGAGGCGGTGCCAACGAAGCGGCGAATTTCTGATACATTAGCATTAGACGTAGGTGGTATATTTACGATGGCCTACCCTACAGTCTTAATCCCTGTGAATCAACGACATAGCCAAGATATTTAGGAGAAGGTTTACAGAATTGACACTTACTCAACGAAACGATGAGCCCTGCATCAAAAAGACGATCGAAAACGATCTCCAGAATTTTCAAGTGCTCAGAAAAGGAGGACGATATGACGATGATGTCTTCCAAATACACCATGACTGAGGGTTCCAAACAGGGACCCAAAACACGATCAACTGTTCGTTGCCAAGTGGCAGGAGCATTGGATAACCCAAAAGGCATGCGACGAAAATGAAAGAGACCACGACCAGGTACTGTGAAAGCTGTAAGCTCACGAGATGCCTCACTCAAAGGTACTTGCCAAAAGGCAGACTTAATATCAATTGAGCTGATATAACGGCCATTCGTCAAACGATCCAAAATGGCCGAAATGTAAGGGATAGGATATGCATCCTTCTTAGAAACTCCGCTGAGACGCCGAAAAGCTATACAAAATCGAAATGATCCATCCTTTTTGCGAGCGAGACATACTGGACTAGACCAAGGGCTTTTTGAACGTTCTATAACCCCCAACCTTAGCATTTCCTCAACTTCCTCATAAATAAACTTTTGTTTCAATGGTGACACGGGATAATAGCGTTATTTTATTGGTTTAACGCCAGGCATAACTTCTATCTCACGCTCAGCCACCTTACAACATCCAAGGCCACTTTATTTTCGATAAGTCGGTTAAGATGTTCTCGTTTGGAGACTGTGAGGCTACTTTCGTCTTGCACAGTGCAAATTTGAGTCATCTCAGGTGTTTCAGAAAACTGCCAAACATTTTGCCTGAGATCCGGCACAATTTCCATGATTTTCCAGAAATCTACTCCCAGTATCAGTTTATGAGATATAGCTCAGGTATAACTAAGCAACAGTACATTTCACCTCCTGTTTCTGTAATTTTAAGCCCAGACTCCTTAAGGTTTCATAACCTGGCAAAACCACCAAAGTCGTGAGAATCTTCAAGAATTGTCTTGGCTTGGTTTTATTTGGATTTTCCTTGGGAAGTTGAGAACCACTTTGTGGGATTTTGTTGTTGAATCTGGGTGAGTACTATTTCACGTTTTTTTCTATGGCGAATTTCTTTCCTCATTCTTGCCTTGGTTCTAGTTGAAGGGACAGGATCGGATTCTTAGGATTACAAACACCTTGACCCATCGAGAGAGAGAAACAAACATAAATAAATTACTCAATTGAGGCACAGATTGACGCCTTGGATTCGTGTGAATTTTGAACCATCATAGAGGGTTTTTCCGGGAGGCGCTTTTCCTCCTCTGACATTCAAGTTTGGCCCTGTGTACTTGGAGCGCAACATCACCTGAAACTGTGGTTCAACTAAGAACTAACTTATTGGTACCTTTGTCTTGGCCAAATTAGACTCGTCGAACAGACCACATCCGAAAGAAAAGCACACAGATAAGAATTAAATTGTCACAACCGGTAACATTCTACTCGGTTTCTCGATGTTGGTGTTTGTCTGGAGTCTTTTCCCGTTTGTCTACTTTCCAGTAATAGTTTCTCCACTCTTACTCATAACATTCTTAAAGCTACCATCTCCTTTTGACGATTGGTAATCCTTTGGGTCTTCAATGGATACTGCTCGTATTCTGGGTCGTGAGGCACCAAAGATTGCTTCCAGTTCCAGTGCTCGGACAAGGGCTTCGCTACTTTATCTGAAGTTAGACATTCCCAGGTTTTCTTGGATCTTGGAATCTCTGAGACTACCAATGAACGCAGGTAGTGCCATCCATTCTTGCATGTCTTCCCCAGCTGCAGAGGAAACGCCAAACTTACTGACCTTTTAACTTCCGATTCGAATTCTTGTAAACTCTCGCCGAGTTTTTGAATTCTTGAGTTCTAAATACTTCTTGTCTGTAATGGCCTCCGAAGCGCAATTCTAAGGTCTGACTTAGATGCTGGTAGTTATGTTGGTAGGTTGAAGGAATGGACTGAAGAAGATCTAAGGTAGG